TCTAAGAGGTCACTTCCCCATGGAGGACACCTGAATGGTTGGTCAACATGTGGGAAGGTATACAACTTCTTTTTTTTTTTGTCAGTCGTGGGGCTTGAACTCTGGGCCTGGGCGCTGTCCCTCAGCTCTTCAGCTCAAGGCGAGCGCTCTACCACTTGAGCTACAGTGCCACTTCCGGTTTTCTGGTGGTTTTATTGGAAATAGGAGTCTCATGGTCTCTCCTGCTGGCTTTGAACCATGATCCTCAGATCTCAGCCTCCTGAGTAGCTAGGATTACAGGCGTGAGCCACCAGCGCCCGGCTACAACTACTTTAGTAAGGGAATATAAACCAAAACTTCTGTGATGCAATAATTTACCAGCTTCAGTTTGACAAAAACAAATGTCACATTGATAGTAGGAATCCTTAACCTGAGATCAATGGCATATTACCTTAGAGACCTTCCTCCCATAAGCTTAGAGGCTCATCTAATCATGGGAAAAAAGCAGCAAGTCTTAATGGAACATAACCTACAATATATCCGCTAGCAACTTCAATCCTGTCCATATGCTCATAGGTTAAGAAAACCTAGAGAAAATAGCACAGCCAAGAAGAGCCTACAGAGATATGACCATTAAATGGCTGTAAGACTTCATGGCTTATATGTGGTGCCAGGAAGTTGGCTTAGTGGTACAGTGCTTGCTTCACATGCATGAGGCCCTGGGTTCGATTCTTCAACACCACATAAACAAAAAAAAGCCGGGCCGGGCGCTGGTGGCTCATGCCTGTAATCCTGGCTACTCAGGAGGCTGAGATCTGAGGATCGCGGTTCAAAGCCAGCAGGAGAGACCGTGAGACTCCTATCTCCAATAAAACCACCAGAAAACCAGAAGTGGCGCTGTAGCTCAAGTGGTAGAGCGCTCGCCTTGAGCTGAAGAGCTGAGGGACAGCGCCCCCGCCCAGAGTTCAAGCCCCACGACCGACAAAGAAAACAAAAACAAAAAAGAAGCCGGAAGTGGCGCTGTGGCTCAACTAGTAGGGCACAAGCCTTGAGCTGAAGAGCTGAGGGACTGCGCCCAGTCCTAGAGTTCAGACCACACGATGGACCAAAAAAAAAAAAAAAAAGTGATGTACAGTCATGAACATAGGAAGGACTTCAGGCTTACAAATATTTTCCTCTACAATATCCTGAGCTCTTCAAGTCCAAAATGTGGTGTCATTTATTGGTGTGTGTGTGTGTGTGTGTTTGTGTGTGAGAGAGAAATAGAGAGAGAGAGAGAGAGAGAGTTTTATTTTTGCTGGTCCTGAGGCTTTAACTTAGGGTCTGACTCTGAACCTCTCTGTCTCAAAGCTAGTGCTCTACCATTTGCTCAAGGCTAGCACTACCAGTTGAACCACAGAGCCACTTCTGGCTTTTTCTGTTTATGTGGTATTGAGGAATTGAACCCAGAGCTTCACGCATGCTAGACAAGCACTCTACTACTAAGCCATATTACCAGCCCGTGTGTTTATTGTTAAGTGTATGAATGTATGTATGTTGTGCCTTGGATCCATCGTACACTTATTATCACTTTGCTTCACCTCAGCCCCTACTGTGTATTTTTAAAAAGTGACCAAGCCAGGCATGATGGTCCACCTGTAACCCTAACTACTATAGGGGTTGAAAGATAGGTCCATTGCAGTCCAGGGCTGGTCTAGACAAAATTTTGGGTCCCTATCAGAAAAACTAAAAGCAAAAACACTTGGACATGGCTCAAGCGGTACTCCTGACTCCAATTTCCAGTACTGCCAAACAACAATGACAACAACAACAAAAACCAAAAGACCACTGACTGGGTAACTAATGAACTACCTGGCAAGTCTGTCATCCTGATGTAAAGCTATGTATGACCATAAAAAATAATTTAGCAAACCTTTTTAAAGATTAAAAAATTTGCCTAGTTAGACTGGCGAGCATTTCTCAAAAAGGTGGTTACTGGAACGAAGCCATCCCCTGTAAATAGAGAAGGACAGGGGCTGTATAGAAGTGAGGTGGGAGGAATGGTTTATATACTAAATATGAATGGGAAATTAGGCTACAGGGCCAGATCTGAAAAGAGCCTTTTGTGCCACATTGACATTTTTTACCCTATATGTAGATGATGTAGAATCACTAGATTTAAAAAAAGTAGGACAAGGCTATGATCAGAGATAAAGTTTAGAAAAGTAACTGGTGTAAGCACCTGGATTGAGAGAGAGAGAGGGAATGGAGGTAGACAAATGTTTGGGAAGAGAGAATTCAGTTTTGGAGGAGCTAGGAAGGTGATGCCTTAATGAACAAGCAATTCAGTCTACTGCTGTGGCGACTATACACTTAGGGCAGGCCAAATTGCAAGGTGATGGCCAAAGATGGTCCTTGAAACTATGGCAATGGATAGCAAATGATGGGGCCAGAATAAATGGTAAGAGAAAGACCCACTGAGACACATGCTAAGTAGTTAAAGGGGAGTAGTGTCCAGCAGAGAGAATTCGCAGATCCTCTAAATGATGGGGGCAATATGAACTTGCAGAGGCAGAGAAGGGAGAGCTGGAGGAAGGGACTGGCATCTGAGGTGTCTGTGAAAGGAGATGAGGAGCCATTGGGAAGCCAGATTAGAGATGTGACTGAAGCCTTGGTTTAAACTTACTTTACTAGGAAAGCAGAGACAATATTCTCTCTTCTTTCATTATTTTTGTTATTATTCTAGGCTGGGAATGGTCAAGGCTATAGGAAGAACAGAAACCACAATGCTAGGACTATCTGACTTGGAAAATATGGTGACGATGAGCAGTTGAAGAGAACAGCTATCAACAGTAACATCTAACTGAAACATAAGGTCCTTTACACCTCATGCAATTCACAATATGTAAAATCACATCACAAAAAAGTAAAAAGAAACTGAAGTTAATTTTAATCATGTGTTATCTATAACCCATTGCATCTAGGACAGTATCATTCAAACACATGGTGCTGGCCACCATGTAGGGACTCAACAGCCAAATGTATTGGACCGTGGGGGTGCAAAGGTACTGGAGGTAAAGCTCACACAAGGAGTGCACGTTCTAGTACATGTCCTTCATCTGCTGAGTGAAGTAAGACGGTGGGCTAGTGATCCTGAGGCTGATGGTAAAGACAGTGGTAGCATGCACAAAAATTAGGGAGGGATCTCAGGCTAAGTTCATCTGCTATTCAAGAAAAGAATACTGCTGATATTCCAGAGAGGATGACATTTATTTCCACCCTGAATGATTATCACAGCATTATTTAAACACATCTGGAAAACCCTGAAATAATTTAAACCGAAGGCACAGAACAAATCAAAATACTTAACTGTGAGAGCCTAAATGAGAAAAATCCAAGTATTTTAACAGTAACAATAAATTATGAACAAGCTTCCGTCACCAAATATCATTCCAAATAGTCTTTTTCTCATAAAATCTATAGCTTAAGCTGATTTTAAGACATCCATGATAGAAATAATGTTGAAAAAAATTCTTTCAAAATACTCAGATCATCAGGTTCAATGTAAGTATTTTTATCTATCACAAAGTAGTGGTTACAGTATTTGTTGATGAATGGCCAATCCCCTGAAGAAAAGACACGTTCTTACAAACTGCTTAAAAAAAAAATAACAAAGTTGGTTATAAAATTCTATTTGGGGAGCAGGAAGAAAACTTGTTCTTTGTCAATTAGAATATCAAAGTACTTCAGTATCAAACTGCTTCAAAAGCCAATCACCATGTAACAGTAATATACTGTGTGGGACATTCACTGTATTCTGGCTCCATGTTGACAGTACAGTGTAGCAAAAAGGCTGAACAAATCAGAAGCAATTAATATTGTCAGTTATTTATTCCAAAGATAAACACTTTAAAAAAATCATTATAGCCAGGTGCTGGTGGCTCACACCTGTAATCTTAGCTACTCAGGAGGCTGAGATCTGGAGATCACGGTTCAAAGCCAGCCTGGGCAGGAAGTCTGTGAGACTCTTATCTCCAATAAGCCACTATAAAACCGGAAGTGGCGCTGTAGCTCAAGTGTTGAGTGCTCACCTTGAGCTGAAGAGCTGAGGGACAACACCCAGGCCTAGAGTTCAGGCCCCATGACCAAAAAAAAAAAAAAAAAAAAAATAATAATAATAATAATCATTTATAAAACTAACTGGAATAATCAGAGGACATGCTACAGATATAATAAACTCCAGAAACTTGGCTGCTAAGTTTGAAAATGAAGTGGTCATGCTTTTATAATATACTGTAGTATTTTGAAATACATTCTGATTATCACTACTACTTATTATTACAGAGGTCACTTGTAAATTAGCTCAGATTCTGAACTCGGTTTCTAAAAGAAACTTTTTCAAGTATGCATAATATTAATAAAGTAAAAACATTTTTTCTTATTCACTTCCTTAAGTGCCATCCAAAGGACAACTTTGTTCAATAAAGGACAGTTTTCAAAAAACTTTTCAAAAATATGAAATACTCTTGCGACCAAGACATTAACATCTAAAACCTACTATTTCAGATTAAAAAAACAAAACAAAAAATAGCATTTCCATCTCTTATTTGAAACAAGTTCTTAAGAAACAAAGTTTTAGAAACAGTTTTCTAAAACACTCAGTAAAGGTTCCTATCTGAATAAAATAATAAGGTTTCTCTTCTCCTACTTAGCTGTGATATATGTGGGTTTAATAGCAATATGGTTTTTATCATCTATTTTAATTGCATAATCACAAAAAACATTTTCAGACATATTACTGATAAATATAATACAAACTCTAGAAATATTTTTTTTAGCAAAAAATGCCTTCAGAATATTCCTATGTAGCAAAACATTCCTTTGGAAATGAATCTTTAATATTTTGGACTGTTACAATAAATGCAGCTTTACCCTCCAGCTCTAAGCTGTAATTACCACCAAGCTTCTCTGTGCATTGGATAACATCCTCTGTTTTTCTTTCTATTCTAATAACAGCACATTATTATTATTTTTTTTGAAAAAAAAAAAAAAAAAAAAAAACCTCTTTAGTGGTGTCAGATTTGTCTTCATCATTTATGAGTACTGAGAGATTAAAGTAGAAGTAAAATAAACCAGAAAATCACTTTATAAGTAGTTTAGAGTTTTGAAATGTTGGCACCAATGAAAAATGAGCAATGCGACACCTCCAGACTTAAGACGTATTCCTTCGAGAAGTTGTTTGTGGCAATGGCAGTAAGCACTATTGCTAGTGGCTGCTCTGACATGGGTCTGGGGGGATATATAATTCACCCTACGACTGAGGCACTGAAAACCAACAGCCACCACGTATCCTAACTCAACTGGCTTGGTCACAGTTTGAGCAGCTTCATTCATTACTGTATGTACTCTCAAAGTGTACCACACCAGGGTTAGTGGAAGGATATTTTTGGGCTAACAGAAATGTAGCTAACTTTAGGAGACAATTTAAATAAACATAAAAGAATGACTTTAGTGGTTTTTGACCCCATGCCTGCCAACTGTGCCAAGGGCTCCTAATAAGCAGAAACACAATGATACCAAAGGTGTTCCTTTCAAAAATCTAAAATGGAAGAAACAAGCCTGGAAACCAGTTTCATAAATGCTATACGAGGCTGCCAGGCCAACAAATGACTGTGAGGGTGACTTTGTTCCTCTGTTCCTTCAACATGGGAACGAGAGCAGAGTGGCTCATGCCCACAGTTGATAGACCGTTTACAGCTACGATCATGTCTCCACATCTGCACAAAGACAAACAGAAAGAGAAGTAGATTGTTATTATTTTAACAGTACTACAGACATTATCCTAACTGTTTAGCCTGAGAATTGAAATTTTACTTCCGAATTAACTGACACCAGGGTATGTTATCTACTTTGGGAAACACTTGGAAAAAGTTTCAAGCCTATTCTGGTTCTCCCTTGCCAATCAGGAATAATCTGGTGCTAACTCCTCCAATAGCTGGTAGGGGAATTTCAAAGATATGTAAAATAATTTTCATATTAGCTTAAGCAAGATATAATTAGGATAATTAACCTGTTCAATTTCTGAAATACCAAACAATGCACTTGGAGGATGTTGGCTCTCATTCTGACCCCAACTTCTCTATTCCTTCTTAGAGTTCACACATTTGGGTGGTCAATTAAACTGAGAATAAGACCTACACTTCCTCTTCCTTCAGCTCTCAATACTCTCCTTTAAGTGGAGTTATTCCAAGTGGATGATGAGTACCTTCCTAGCCTTATAACGTCCCATAATTTATGATTTCTGGTCTTTATAACATGAATGAGTATGCAAATTAATAAACTGAGGCCTGGCTGGTAATTTAGCTAATTGAACAATTAATTTTCTTCATCTTAAAATAGTCTTATAAAATAGAGACTGGTGGAAGTGATGCTGTGGCTCAAGTGGTAGAGCATTATTAGCCTTGAGCACAAAAAGGCTCAGGGACAGGCTCTAGTTCAAGCCCCAGGACTGGCAAAAAAAAAAAAAAAAAAAGAGACAAGACACTGGTCTGGAACATACTTCTTATAACTATATATATATTTTTTTTGGTAGGTCAGGGGGAGGGTTGTATTTAGGATTGAACTCAGGGCCTCATGCTGGCTAGGCATGTGTTCTACCACTTGAGTCTAGTCCCTTTTGTATTGGTTATTTTTTGAGGTAGGGTCTTGCTTTCTGCCTAGCCAAGCATGGGCTATAATCCCTCTACTTGTACTTTCCCCTGTCACCAGAGATTACAGTTACATACCACACCATGACCAACCATTGGCTGTGATAGTGTCTGGGAAATTATTTTTGTCTGTGTTAGCCTCAAGCTATGATTGTACATCTTTGCCTCCCAAGGACTATATACTAGAGCCACCAGTAGTATTATTTGGATAATACTTTCTCTTAGCAAATAGTGTTAATATTCCACTAGTGCCACATGCTGTCCAGCATATCTACATTCACATTCATATTTTTCTCTCTTTGCTTTCATTTTTTCTTTTCTTTTTTGCTGGTTCTGATCTTGAATATATTTACTTTTAAAGAACTAGTTATACCAAAAATTAAGCAGTAAGAATTTACCATCAACTACTTCCTATCTGTTGGCGATAACTTCTATTTAGTCTTCCAGTACTAAGCTCTGAAAAAGAAGGATTTGTCTCCTGGCTAAGCAAGTGCTCGCTGCCCAGTGAGCGGTGACAGACAGCCGAAGGATTAAAGGCCAGAGCTCTGGAGCCACAATTCTGGTTGAATGCTACTAAACCAGCTTTAGTTATTTAACCATGAGCAAGATTCTTAGACTTTTTAAGACTCAGTTATCTTGTTTGTAAAACAGGAATAATAACATATCTTATATGGCTGTTAAAAAGATTAAATAGGGCAACATTGTCCAATGAGAAATGTACTTATTACCTGACTTATGTAACTATAACCCCTGTTTATCACCTTTCTAATAAGAATAAAAACAAGGAAAAAAGATTAAATAATGTATGCCTAGCCTTTAGTACTTGCCTGATATACTGCATATTTATTCAGAAAATATTGATTAGACTTACATACAAGGCACTGCTATGGGGGCTGGGAAGGTGGCTCAGTGGTAGAGCGCTTGCCTTGCATGTATGAGACCCTGGGTTCCATTCCTCAGCACCACATAAGCAAAAAGAAAAAAGCCGGAAGTGGCGCTGTGGCTCAAGTGGTAGAGCGCTAGCCTTGAGCTGAAGAGCTGAGGGACAGCGCCCAGGCCAAGAAGTCAGTCCCCATGACCGGAACCAAAAAAAAAAAAAGGCACTGCTATGGCAGCTAGGGATCTAACAATATCTGCAGCAACATACACCCCACCATGGAGCTTGCATAAACACAATGTTAGGCAGAGATGTGTGCTGTGGAGGCAAAGAATGTCCTACTGGTAGGACTGATGTCTGAGCACTTGTGTGGAAGAATATCATTTACAATGTACCCAAACCAATGACTTACTTAGTTCTGCTCATTGGATTGAAAAGTAGAGCTTTAAGGGACAAGGTGGTGAAGGTAATGCTTCAGTGTAGATGAGGGGTTGGCATGTTTTCTGTATGGTAAGTATGTTAGGCTGTGTGAACTATACATACAGTCTTATGTAAACTAGAGCCTTCAACTGTAGTTTGGAAGCATTCAAAGAGGTACATAAAGGAGTGAGTGTGGCTGCTGCTATAAAACTTCACTGATTGTTTTTTTGACACAGTCAAAAAAAAATGTGTCCCAGGCTGGCTTGAAACGCAAGTATCCGGACTCAGCCTCCTCAATACTGGTATTAGAGCTGAGTGCCACCTACTTGGAAATATAACTTTATTTACAAGACAGCGGGCTAGATTGTTGATCCCTGAGGGCTAGATCTCCCCCCCCCCCCGCCCCCTGAGGGCTAGATCTTATAGAACATAATGAAAAGGAAAACAAGACTTACTTTAACCTTCCATCATAGTAAGCAGGAGTTCCTAAAACAATGGTTTTGATGAAGAAAGGCTGATTGGTGTGATTCTCTTCATATCCACCAACAATACTAAAGCCCCAGCTTCCCAAATAGCTTCTTCGTAGCACTATATCATGGCAGCTGTGGAGGGCGCTGTGAAAAAAAATCACAAATATAAATGCAAATGAAGGCTTTCATAGCCTGTTCACCTTTGTCATAAGTTCCACAACATGGTATATTTACCACTCCTGGAAAAAACAAAGCTATTTTATTTCCTAGTCATGATATTAACTTTTTTGGTGCTAAGGATTGCACTCAAGGCCTAAGTTCATGCTAGGCAAATGCTCTATCACTGAGCTACACCACACCCTGACTGTTATATTTTGACAACTCCATTTTGTAGTATAGATGCAGTCTGAGGTAGACCCAGTTTCTCCAGCATTCCGAGTCTGCTCTTCCCAGGTGAAGACATGCATATACATGTATGCAGGAAAGAAGCTTAAGTAAGCTTGGTTATAGAACTATACCTCAGAAATGTTTACAGAAGATTATGTGATGATGTTCACTCACAGCCAACATTCTCATTTCCAATAATCACCTGTGTCTATAAGAACAGATACACAGTGTATGAAAAGGTCTAGAATTGTGGCTCTCAGCATTCAAATGAAAGAAGACTATAACCAGTAGTGTAGCTTCTGAGTAGCATAGTCAGAGGGCTGGGGATGCAGTTCACACTAGCACACAGAGGCCCCAGGAGGGACAAAAAAAAAAAAAAAAAGGTAGATAACTTTCTCTTACTTTGGAAAGTATATTTTCCAAAGGATGTGACCTTAATTTACAAGAAGAGCTATTTGTTGTTCTTTCTTCCTTCACTTAGTATGGTTCACTTTAGGGTGTTTTAATGACCAAAATAGGAAACTCAAGTCTAGAGAACACTTATATAAACAACATGTTTTTTTCTTTGCATGGACACTGAGATGCTACAGTTGAAATGCTGAAAGGAAGAAAATAATCTTACACTTCCACAAAATATGGATTTGGGAATAAGCAGTAAGTCAGTGCTTAAAAAAAAGTGATATAAAAAGTCAATCTTCATACATCTTTTCTTCCCCTTTTATTTCTTTTTGGTGACACTGGGCTTTGAACTTAGAATCTCACAGTTGTACTGAACCATGACTTCAACCCTCATTTTCACTGGATATTTTTAGGACTGAGTCTCATTTCCTGTTTGCCTTCATCCTTGAGCTGTGATCTGCCTACTTTTAGGTTTCCTGTCATCACCAAGATCACAGGCATATGCCATCACAGCCAGTTTCCCTTCAGGAAGACAGATTCTCACAGCCTTTTCTGCCTGGGTTGGCCTCATACTGTGATTTGCTTGGGACAACAGGCAGACACCACTGCACCCAGTTATCGATCTTGAAAATCTTTTTGCCTTGGCTGTTCTAGGCAGCCTCTCAAGTATTTAGGATTATAAGGACTGAGCCATATATTTTCTATTTCATAAAATAAATATTTTAGAAAATATATAGAATATATTTCATAGAAAATATATTTTAGGAGATATATATTTTATAGAAAATGTTTTTCAGAGTAAAGAAGTACCTTTTATTAAGTGAAATCAGATCTACAAACATCAAATGTAAGGTTTCTTGTTTTTAATCCATAAAAATGATTTCTTAAAGTTGTTGTAAAGTGATATACAACAGTCAGAACTTGTAATTTCTTAGCTCATTGATAAGGTAAGATGTTTAGAGATGGACTGGAGCAAGGTCCCATGTACACAGGACGCCAAGTAATGTTGTATGCAAACTTACATGCAACAGAGCCCTCCATGAATCTTCAATAATGGCCTTTGTTGGCAGATATTCTTTCAGCACAGGTTGGCTCAAAAATAGATTTGACTAATAAGCACATATTTCTCTTCTAATGCTTGGCATATCAGAAAATGCTAAGTAAAAAAGACATGCATGTGTAGGCTTCAAGACAAGGCTGGGAGAAGAGATGAGGGCAGTTAATGGAAATACCAGCCCCACAGATTTCTCCAAGAGGTTGCTACATAAACAGAGGGATAAAGGCTGATGAGCTCAGGGGCGCAGGACAGCATAGGTGGCAGGCTGTGCACCCACAGTTCCTGTCATCCTAGATTTACATAGCCACTCAGGAATCAGATTGAGAACTGAGCAAGATAAATGAGGCTCCCTCGGAACTCTCAATTTTAGGAACTCTGAAGGAGTTTAACAACTATTTAAATCATGTTTACCTTTCAATAAAAAAAGGAGTAATCAGTTTTGATGCACAGCATAAATGTATGGCAATTAAATATTTTTTGCTACCAAAAATCTGTCCACAAGGTCCTTTTATATCTGTAAGTCATGAATGCTGGTATGGCTTTAGGCTTTAGTTGTCAAGTTAGGTTACCAACAAATGAAGTCTAATAGTACCTTGCTTTATTCTGCTATTTTTATGTGAAAGTACTTTATAAACCACAAAAATGATATTCAATTATATCATAAAACAATTACAAAAACTTATCCCACATGAATCAGAAGGCTGTTTATTTTTATTTTATTTTTTATATTTATTCTTATTCTAAAGAATCAGTAATTTTCCTACTTGGTAAGAGTTAAAATGTTTCACTATAGTTTTAGGATTTTTATACAGAGGAGATTATGAACTGATTTAGAAACTAATGATGGAAATGTGAACTCTTTCTATTTCAGTACCAAGTAACAACTGAATGATAGGAAAGTGCCTTTAAAAAGACTACTGGGTTGTGGCACAGCCCAGACATTGGATTATTATTTTTTTAAATCACATGCATGTGAAGGTCAAACAGAGATCAGAATGGATGTTGATAAGTGACAGCTTTACCTAGTAATGAGAAGAACATCCAATCAACTTAAGATCCTTAGTACAAATGGGAAGAAATACTTTCTTCATTTTAACAAACAGAAACAGATACAAGGTTTTGGATTTCTTTTCTTTCTTTCTTTGTCTGTTTTTTAGCTAGTTCTTGTTATTAAATGACTTTCTTAAATGTCATTAAATTTTTTCATGTTTTTTTTTTTTTTGCTGGTCCTGAGGCTTGAACTCAGGGTCTGGGTGTCTCTGAGCTTTGTGTTCAAGGCTAGTGCCACATAGCTCCTTCTGGCCTTCTCTGAATAGTTTATTAGAGATAAGTCTCAAGACTTTCCTGACCAAGCTGGCTTTGAACCATGATCCTTAGATCTTGCCTCCTGAGTTGCTAAGATTACAGGTGTGAGCTACATATGCCTGGCTGAAAAATCACCATTTAAAAAAAAGAATCTGATTTAATAATAGTACTTCATCTAATTAAAGTCTTTTGTTCCATACTGGGTATGTTAACTATTTTACACACAGATAGAGATTGCAAATATGATTATTACATAAAACAACAACAAAAAAAATCGATCAGTACCTTGGGAGTCCAAGCCACATGACCCATGATGGAGACCAGCTGGCATCGTACTCATTCTCACTGAAAACACTTGGCTGCTCTTCTGAGGTTTGAGTTGTCTCCTCGACAACCTGGACCTCCAATGCTTTGAGGGCAACAGCTGGGGAGGCAGCACTGGCCTTCAGCATAGCCACAGCCTCACTGTGACTTAGATTGGTCAAGTCAATACCATTGATATTCAGCAATACATCACCTGTTCCAATAAAGAAACAAAAAATATGATCTTGGCCACCAAGTGGTTATTTCCCTATAAATATTGTAAACTGTTGTAAATGGATCAACAACTGTTAGTTCTGATTATTCAAAAAAAGCAAACAACTATTATTTACTTCTTTATAATTTTTGTAATAGCGGGGACAAGTCTAAATCATGTAACACATTCCAAAATAGTTCCAAAATTCAGAATAATGTCATAATATAGAAGTGTGGCTTGAGGCACATTGATAAAGCTGGAAACTCAGATCTTTAGCCTCAATTCAGTTGAGTACAGGCCCTGGGCACATTCATTTTTCTTATTCAAGTTTCAGAGTTCTTTCTAAGTCAATAATGATGTGACGTCCTTTACTTTTGGAAATAGATTCTATTTTATATTTGTACAATTATATACATCAAGACAGACCTGCATAGTTCACTCAGGGCAAACATAACAGAATACGTACAGAGAAACAACCTTGAGCCACACAATAAAATGAAACTTGTGATTTAAAAAGCTTCCTTTGCTAGAGGGAAGAACAAAATGTGTATTGTTCTCCCAAGCAATATAATGAAGAAGGGAGTGGAGGTTAGATAAAAGGTTAGGAAAGGACATTGTGCTACAAAACCTATAGAAAACCCACTCTTCCACTTTTTCACCTATTTTACAGATTATTAAAGGAAAAGATTCTCATTGTAGAAAACTTCAGAGAAAAAACCAGTTGGGTACAGGTTTTTATTTGACATGTGTTTACTTCTCTAGTAGTAGAATCTCTGGATCATATGGTTTAATTCTTTGAAAAACTGACAAACTAAACAGTTACATTATTGCATATTTCTATCAGAATCTTACTTTCTTGTTAACATTTGTTATTGTCTCTCTTTCTATGGGCATTCTAGTGTGTGGGGTAGTAACTCCCTGTAATTTTGATTTGCATTTCCCTAATTATCAATGATATTGAATAGCTTTCTCAGAGATTTTCTGCAATATTTTTTTTTTTTTTTTGCAATATTTTTTTTGCCTTTGGAGAAATGCCTACTGATTCTTTGTCCATCTTTAAACTGGGCTATCTGTGGTTTTTATTGAGGTATAAGAGTTCTTTATAAATTCTACATACAAGACAGATGGTTTGCAAATATTTTCTTTTATTCTGTGGGTTATATCCTTATGCCTTTTTGGTGAAAACTTTTTCAAGACAAGCATTTTCAATTTCCATAAAGTCCAGTTATCTATTTGTTTTATTACTTTTGCTTTAAGTGTAATATTTAAGAAATTCATGCCTAATTAAAGTTTATGAGAATTTACATCTGCATTTTCTTCTAAGATGTTTAGCCTCTTACATTTTTGTCTTGAAGCCATTATGGTAGGAGATACAGGTCTAACTTTATCCTTGGAAAAGTAGCTTTAATGCTCATTTTTCTCTTTATATGAACAGACTAAGTCAATAAATACTATTTTTATCATAGTAATAATGCTTAATTGTACCCTTTCTACCTATGTACCCTTTCCACCTATCAAGAAGGAATGCAAAACAGTAAATGAATTTATGCCTAAAGTTAATTTTGTCCTTTACCTCCTAAGTCCCATTCTACATAGATACTTTATTTTAATCAACATTTTGTATTTTGGTGAGCTGGGCCTTCAGAGTATCTACCACAATGCTGAAAGCCTAAGTCTCTTAAATCTCTTCCAAGACAAAAACAAATCAACATTGTGAATAAATGTTAGCAAATTCTGGAACCATCATCAAGGCTCAGCAATTTTCTTTTACCTTTCTTTTCTAACCTTTTATAAAGACATTATATGCTCATATACAAGGATAATGTAACATTAAAAAAAACTTTAAAAGTCATCCTTAGGCTGGGCCCCCATGGCTCATGCCTGTAACTCTAGCTACTCAGGAGGCTGAAATCTGAAGATTACAATTCAAAGTCAGCCCAGGAAGGAAAGTCTGAGACTCTTATCTACAGTTAATCATCAAAATGCTCTAAGTAAAACTGTGGCTTAACTGGTAGAGTAGTAGTCTTGAACAAAAAAGTTCAAGGGCAGTGCCCAGGCCCTCAGTCCTGAGTTTTAAGGCCCCAGATTGGCACAGACACAGAGACACACATTATGTTTAACAGGAAACTTTGTAATACTCTTATTTTATTTTACTTGCTGATTCTGGGGCTTGAACTCAGGGTCTGGGGGTTGTACCTGAGCTTTTGTGCTCAAAGCTAGTGTTCTACCACTACAGCCATAGCTCCACTTCTGGCTTTTTGTACTTAACTGGAGATAAGAATCTTTCAGCTGTTTCCTTCCCGAAGCTGGCTTTGAACTGTGATCCTTATATCTCAGCTTCCTGAGTATCTAGGATTATAGGCATGAGCCACTAGTGCTTGACATACTCTATTAAAAATATTTTTTAAAGTGTTTAATTCAGGGATAAGAAATGGTGGAACTGTTGGGGCTGGGGAGGTGGCTCAGTGGTAGAGTGCTTGCCTTGCATGCCTGAGGCCCTGGGTTCGATTCCTCAGCACCACATAAGCAAAAACGAAAAAAGCCGGAAGTGGCGCTGTGGCTCAAGTGGTAGAGCACTAGCCTTGAGCTGAAGAGCTGAGGGACAGCGCCCAGGCCCAGAGTTCAGGCCTCACGACTGGATCCAAAAAAAAAAAGAAATGGTGGAACTGTTCTCTTACCTCTCTTGATCCTGCCATCTCGTGCGAGACAGCCATGAGGTGGCACGCTGGTCACAAAGATGGGCAGTTCGCCACTCTTACTTCCTCTGCCTCCAGCAACAGTCATTCCGAGAGACTCGTGTGGCTCCTTCTTTATAGTAATATGTTTTTCTTGGCATGTAACACACTGAGTTAGATCCTAAAATATGAGAGAAAAAATAGATAATAATATATAGCTAAGATAAAAACAGCTTAAACCAAGGTGGTAACTAATATGGCATTTATTTATTTTATTTTTTTTGGGTCCGGTCGTGGGGCCTGAACTCTTGGCCTGGGTGCTATCCCTCAGATCTTCAGCTCAAGGCTAGCACTCTACCACTTGAGCGTCAGCCCCACTTCCAGCTTTTTCTGCTTATGTGGTGCTGAGGAATCGAACCCAGGGCCTCATGCATGCAAGGCAAGCACTCTACCACTGAGCCACCTTCCCAGCCCCTAATATGGCATTTATAAAGTGATTTTTTTTCACACTTTATTGACCAAACAGTTCTTAATAGGTATGTATACTGTGTATCAATGTCACACTTTGAACTACCATATTTTTGTATAACTATGCAATTAAAAAAAACCCTCAGCACTGTTGACATAAGGAAGTCAAAGTCAAAGCTAAAATAAACATACCATTTTTATAATCACCTTGAGTATAAAGATATAATCAATACTGTAAGAGTAATGCTTTTGAGGTGCAAGATTCTAAAGTCAATTAATTTTACTTCTATCTTCTACAATTCTCTGAAAGAAAAGTTGACAGAATTGTACAAAAGTAAAATGTTAGGTAGATGGTGCTGATTGCCAGAAAAGCTGGAGCCCTCTGTTCTTGACAGGGACTGCAGAGTGCTCCGTCATGAAGCATGTGCAAGTCTCCCCTCAAGACTTTCATGAAAAGCTAAAAGGTATGAAAGATCCAAAGTCTTAAAAAAGTCATTGATAGGGAAATAAATTCCCAACAAACTAGTGATCTTGTATAAAAACGACTTGTACTGACATGTGTTAGTCTGACATGATACTGTGGACACTCCAGTAAGAATTTGAAACATCAGTTTTCTTTGGACTTAGAATTCAGTAACAAATAGGGTATTCATAGACCCTATCAATAATTAACCTGTATTAGTGCTAGCACGTGCAAAGCTAACAGCCTACATGCATTATTTCACTTAATGATCATTGCAGTGCTAAAAAAGTAAACATCTTACAGATGACAAAACAAGCTCAGAGAGGTTGTGTAGCCTGTGAACTTAAACATGAAAAGAGTACACTTTATGCATTAGTAAGCATCTATCTTTTGTGTGTATTCATATTGTGTATGCACATGTATAGACTGTATTGTGTACACTTGCACTCCATGAGTATTATCCCACTCAGTATATAAGTGGAAGCAGCAGTTCCAAAGATTTTAACACTTACATGAATTATATTTACAGAACTATAACAATGTCTTAAATGATATTAGTTTAAAAAGCTGACATGTCCTTAACTGTTAGTAAGAGTATTTATTAAATCTCTGGAGTGGGCTTTGGAATTCTAAGTCCAGGTGCCTCTTCCAGACTTAATCCATTTCCACTTGAAATTTTATCAAACGATCTTTGTGTAATAGCAGCAAAATATTCCTAAAGAATGTTCTAACTTGCCAAACTTGTCAAGCAAACTTGTCAACATCTTCAGGTAGTCCTGTATCTAAAGCTATGACATTTTTAAAAATTAATATTGGACAAACATGTTTGTCTTTATTATGAAGACAACTCCAAGACATTCAGCCTTGAGTTAATATTTAGTAGTTTTGGCCCTTAGTCAGTCAGTTAGGGGAGGTTGTTTTATTACTCTCATTGGTAGAATTATATACATTTTCCTGTAGGAACTAACCAAATTTCAAAGATTATACTCAATATGCTTTCTAAGGGTTCTCTAAATATTTATCCAACCAGCCACTGAGAGGTATGGTGATAGACTAATATACTTTAACTTTTCATAATGATTATAACCCATTTGCCCAGGTTATTTTGGTAGGTTTGTATGTGTTTGTTTTTCCTAGGATATCTTTGTCTTATATCAGGATTTGATGTAGCAAATATAATCTGTTAGTAACAGCTAAAGTATCATATTATATTTCCATGTGGTTGTTCTAGCTAGAACACTTAGAGCAAATTTGAGAATGTTCTTTCCAAAAACATTGCCAAATAAAGAAGGTTAATAAGCAAAGTTATGACAGAAATAAATACACAGTACCAAGACAAATTAGCTTTCAAATGAAACAGTTCTTTATATGAATGTTAGAAGATTAAGAATAATTTTAAAATTGCCTTAAAACGGCAATGTCAGATCTGCCTCAAATTACTGTAGAATTCAATGACATACAAGCTTTAATTACCAACTTTTCCCATATATTACAATCTTGTGAGTGTGTGTGTATGTGTATGTAATGTAAAGCAAGGACTAGCTATATGAAAAAACTTCTCAAAATTCCTTTGCAAAACAGTAATTCCTTTAACATAATCATCATTAAAAAGGGAAAATTATAGGCTTCCTTCATACAATTTTGCTTTTGTTCAGAAGTAAGAACAAATGTCTGTGGTTATAATTTTCTCTTAAGTGTTAACTAAACCATAAGACAATGAAGACATCTGTACTTAGCTTGGAAAAACTGAAAAAGCTGATGGGCCAAAAATACTTTTCTTTCAGCAATGCTTTCTTAGTGTCAATAGCAGATTCTGAAGAATCATTCTCTCAAATGTTGAGCTAAAATTTAAAAGCTACATTAGCACATAGGAACTGTCTATAGATTTTAAGCAGACCAATAAATATGTTTTTGTTAGGTCAAGTACTTTAACTTCAGAATAATGACTTTGGAAGCCCATATTTGCCTTGCATTTTAGATTTTGGGTAAGCATCACATCATTGTTTTAAAATGGAAGCTGAGTTCAAATGCAGAATCAAACAAAGTAAATGATACTCAGAACTTTAGTTGTATAATGCAAGTGACACAGTGTCCAAATTCTCAGCTAAATGATACCAGTGACTGCTGATGTTCAGGAAGCAGATGAGGACATCAATGATTTTCAGGCAATATTCACCTAAGCTGCAACATAAAAACACGGGCTATACTGTGTCCATCAAAGTTTATGACTCCTGTGTTAACATTCTAATTCTATTATTGCTGTCTACAAAAATGCTCAACAGCTAAATATAGACTTGTCAATAACATCTGCATGATGCTTTTTCAATCATACATCCAATGTTTACAGTAAGCATTCAGAGATAAATCCTACTTACAGGTGGCAATAAAACTGATTTTTCTGAAAGATTATAAACTTTTTGTTTGCTTGACAAAGGATTCCTTCCTGCCAAAAATTATCTCTAGTAGCTGAGGGACTAAGAAAGTGAAGTTACTCTCTAATGGAGAAAGCATACTTTATATCTGGAATACTTACATTACACTTGTCCAAGAGAATGACAACGCATATTTAAATCTTAAAAAGAGAAATCTTTATATTGAGATATGACTGGCATGCAAAAAAACCTCGTTTAAATTTCATAAGCTTGCAGCAATGATCCTTAGAATGACAGAAATTCCTTTTGTTTTTTAAATCCTCACCTTATGTGAACTTGGTCTGCTGTGGGAGGGCAGCTGTGGGTGGTGCTGGCTGCTATTATGAGTTCCTGCTTCCCGGGTGGAGTTGCCAGGCTGGGGTTTCACTGGCCTAGCAATAGTTAAGCTCACCCGCTCTCCACTGGCCTGGAGAAAACACACAGCCATTACCACCTGTTATGAATGACGTTTGTCATTTTAAAGACCACATGCAGGATAATTTTCTATGCACTTCTCAATCACTGTACCTGGGCCTCACCTGTGCAGTGACTGTACCTGGTGGTAAGGAGGAGGGATGTTGATTAGCTAACAAACTCAAACTTCTGGGAAACACACACATATCCACAAACACATATCCTTAAGCATTAAGATATTTTAGAAGTTCAGATTATCATTGGAAAGAGGCCAGTTACCTATCTAATTTGTAAACCAATTCACATGTTAAGATTAAAAAATTAATTAACTTCTAAAAGTTACTTTGTCTTCTTTTTTGGTCCATCGTGGGGCCTAAACTCTGGGCCTGTTCACTGTCCCTCGGCTCTTCAGCTCAAGGCTAGCAATCTACCACTTGAGCCACAGCACCACTTCTGGCTTTTTCTGCTTAGGTGGTGCTGAGGAATCGGACCAAGGGCCTCATGCATGCAATCTACCATTGAGCCATCTTCCCAGTCCTCCCTCACACACCCCCTTGTCCCCCGCCACCCTCCAGCCTTTTTTTTTTTTTGTCAGTCCTGGGGCTTGTCCCTCAGCTCTTCAGTTCAAGGCTAGCACTCTACCACTTGAGCCACAGTGCCACTTCTAGTTTTCTGGTGGTTAACTGGAGAAAAGAGTCTCACAGACTTTCCCACCCAGGCTGGCTCTGAACTTTGGTCCTCAGATCTCAGCCTCCTGAGTAGCTAGGATTACGGGCGTGAGCCACCAGTGCCCGGCTTGTCCTTATTTTAAAAAGTACAGCTCAGAGTTACTTGGTGTTTACTCTTGGTCATGACAATTCTCAATTTTATTATTATTCCTATGAGAAATGATGACAGCCTGCTTTCAGGAATTAGGGTACAAAGTAGAAACTTTTCCTATGATTAAAGTCAATAATGTTAAGAAATCATTTCGTTTCCAACACTCAAATTGAAAATTCCACGGTAATCTTAGAATCCTATTATAAGTCATTTGCAATCAAAGCATTTTATTAAACTAGTTTCAGACAAGTTCTTAAAAAATAACTGAAGGAATAACATTCAGCTGATATCTCCAGGCAGGGAGAGTTGCTCCATAGGGTGAATGCTGCCTTGGGACATGGATCAATTGGTAGAGTACCTACTAGCATATGGGAAGTCCTGGGCTCAATCCCCAAGGACCCTGAAGGGTAAATGCTAAGGCAGACTGTTCAGAACCTTGATATTTATAATCCTAAAATTCCAGACTAGTGGACTGTACTGTGTGGTTCTGTGATTTTTATTTTAATATACAAACTCATTTTCATTATTGCTTCATATCTTATAACCAAAGTCAGTATTTTAACTTAATTAGAAAGTTGTTTACAGAAACCAGTCAATTGAAGCCAATCCTGTGCTTCAAAGACAAAATTCTGTGTATATGATAGAAGTGTACATTTAGAACTTAAAATGATGGGGCCAGGTGCTGGTGGCTCAGGCCTGTAATCCTAGCAGGAGGCTAAGACCTGAGGATGGCAGTTCAAAGCCAGCCTGAACAAGAAAGTATGTGAGATTGTTATCTCCAATTAACTCCCAGAAAATCAGAAGAGCAGTTGTGGCTCAAAGTGGTACAGCACTAGTCTTGAGCAAAGGAGCTCAGGGAGGCACTCTGGCCCTGAGTTTCCACTCCATAACAGACAAGAAACAAAACAAAACAAAACGAACAAGAAAAAGTATTTAAATATGGGCCAACATTGGGTTTAGGTAATTTTTAAAGACTTAGGGTTTAGCACAGCAAGACTTATTTAAATCAAGATTTAGAAAATGTAAGGATGTTCAAGTAACAACTGCTAAATATACTTGTCAATCACATTATGATTGTCAACCACATCATGCTTCTTTGTGTGTTTCATTGGGGCTTGCACTCAGGGCCTCACCCTTTTCCCTCAGCTTTTTCATTCATAGCTGCTACTCTACCAATTTGTGCTACACTTCCAGTTTTGGCTTTTTGATGGTTAATTGGGGATAAAGCCTTGTTAATTGGGGATAAATCCTTCGATCTCAGCCACCTGAGTAGGTAGGATTAGAGGGGTGAGCCACTGGAACCCAGACCCAGGCATACTCAGTTCTTGAGTGAGTGGCATGCCTTGCTGTTGGGAATACAAATTTGTATCCTCTTTCTGAAGTTTAGCAAAATATCTTAAACTTGATAACAAAACATGAAAGACTATCAACAGAGGAGTGACGAAATAAATAAATACTTACTTTCATATACATGTTTACAACATAGCATTGACAAAGATAGAGATACAAACCTAGAATTTATAAGATCAGTACATATATTAAGGATTTGTGTCCACAGGTACACATAGAAGTGTTTCAAATGGTGCTCTCTAAAATCTTAACATTGATATTTTGGAGTGCTTAGATTGAACGCGATTTTTCTTCTTTATTTACTGTAAATTTTCATTATTCTCTTTTTTAGACTTTTTTTTAATAATCCAGAAGCAATTAAGACTGAATTTTGAACAATTTCACTTACGTAATGTTAATGGAAAATTGTAACACAAAATATAAGGCAACTATTTAAAAAACTGGCATAGAGACTCTAAGTTGTGGTCGGACCATATATAATGAACCATATTAACATGAACTCCAAGAATTGGAAACAAGAGATTCTTACTCTGTCCTGCAAGCATTTCTTTCTTTCTTTTTTTTTTTTAGTTGTCTGTACCTTTTGTCTTGTATGTGTTTATCGGATCCGTGAAAGGGAAAGGGGATCATAGACACAGCAAGACAAAGGGTGAACTAACGCAACAATGAACCTGACACTATGTTGGAAGTGAACTACTCAACTGGAGGGCAGGAAAATAGGGAGGGGTAAGTGGGAGAAAATGAGGGAGGGGTTAACAGTGTTTAAAAAGAAATGTACTCATTACCTTACTTATATAACTATAATCCTCCTGTTCATCATCTTTATAATAAAGATAAAAAATCCAAATATAAAATACCGGGGAAAATTTAAAATAGTTTCTACATCTATGGATGTATTTCTCTCACGTTGGTTAGAAATTTAGTAAGGACCATTTACTTAAGAATTAAGAGACTTAAGCCTGATGCTGGTGATTCACACTTATAATGCTAGCTACTTGAGAAGCTAAGATCTAGAAGACTGAGTTTCAAAGCCAGCTTGAGTGGAAATACCCACTAGACTCCATCAACAAAATAGCAAACAAAAGCAGGGTTAGAGGTGTGGCTCAAGTGGTAAAGCACCAGCCTAATAAGAAAAGCTCTTGACTGAGAAGCATTGAGTTCAGACCTTCAAACCTTAGTACCAGCAGAAAAATTAAGAAAATTTAAATATTGCTTGAGATATAATATGGCCACTCTATTTCTAACTTACTGATTTACCTCTCATTGCATAAAGTAAATCTGACCCTTCTATTTTTTCAAACAAGTCCGTAACACCACTGGCTTTCTACATCCTCCTCTCTATTTCCCCCATTTTTCTCCCTAGAAAGGGAAAAGAGGTAGCTTTCTGTAGGGTAGCAACTGGTTCTGATTTGGGGAAATTTAAAAGTATACATTTCTTTAAACTTCAACTTTATAAAATATGAATAACACCTGACTCGCTCTCCACTGTAATAAATCAGGTTAAGACTTGGATTTTCTTACAGTCTTATATCTTCCTTGTTATTTGATTCCATGTGGCAAGATATTTCACTACCCACCTAATGTTTGGTTTCTTTTACAGGATTCTGCTGTGATTACTTTAAGTATTTTTGTTTCACCTTTATCACTGTAAGAAATGCCCCTATCATTAAGTGCCATGGCATGTGGCAGAACCTGTAGATCTTCCTGGAGTGAGTTTCCAGATGATCTGTCTTTATGCTCTTCCTGAAAACATGTCTATCCTTTCTCACTTCACAGAGACACTGTGAGGACAGATTTTATGATGTGTGTAAAATACTTTGAATTCCTTAAATTATGAAAAAAACACTAACTAGTTTAGGTGTGTGTGTGCTTTTCCTTTTTTGGACTAGGCTGGCCTTGTACTCCTAGGTTCAAGGAATACTCCCACTTTGGCCTGCCTCAGGAGAGACATTATTAATAAAATAACCTGGACCCAGTAGGGATAAGTTATTAATCAAATTATCCCCCCTCTCATTTATATGGATTTCCTGAAGGGAGTTAAAGAGACTGGAAACTCATAACTTCACTTTCCTTCTTTAGAATGTGGACACCACTATTTGTTCTATCTTGCTACTAGGTGAGCTCCAAGATCAAAATGTGACTTCAATATGAAGCTGTAATGGAGCCTACGATGTATAAACAGCTAAGGTGAAAGTCCACAGGAACAAAGCGTTCAGATAAAGTTTTATCTATAGGGAAGTTACACTAGCTTATGTTTTGAGGCATTTAGATAACCATGTCATATTTTTTAATAAAACATCAAAAGTCCCTTGAATTCTGACATGTGCTAATGGAAACAAACACTGCTATGTGGACTTTTAAGGTTCAGAGTTCAGCATTCACCTGAATAATCTGGGCAGCGAGCTCTGGAGTCCCATGCTTCAGGTCATGCCCATTGATGGCCAGTACCCGGTCGTTGCTGCTGAGCCTGCCATCTTGGGCTGCCAGCCCCCCTTCTAGTAGATCAAGAATAAAAACACCTGGCTCATCTGTCCTTCGGACTAGTTTAATGCCGAGCTGTTCAGCAGAGTCCCGTTTATGAAGAACCACCTGGAAAACCTCTTCCCTTGCAGTGCTGCCATCAGAATGGTTGTAGGCTCGGCTGCCAAAGCGCCTCTCCCGCAGCACAGTCAGATGCAGAGTGGTGCAAGGCTGGGAAAGGACAGCTCTGGCATAGTTATGGGACACATTGCTGATATCATAGTTGTTGACCTAGGGGGAATAAAAAAAGAACCATGATCCATGCATGACAATCTCTCATTTCCTTACCTTGTAGAAACGTTTTGGTGACATTTCCAAAGGAAATCAACATTGAAAAAAATGCTGTAAGTATCAGCATTTACAAAGAAAAATCAGAACTTACAAGATGTTTTAAAATATAAGGTCTCTAAAGTTAGTTTATAATGACTAACCTCTAGTACAGAACAGTAGTTAGCATCACAGGCTTTGATGATAGTCTGGAATTAAGAGTTCTCAGTTCTGCTAGTTACTGATAACCTAAGGCGAACTACAGAACTTGAGCTTAATTTGTGTGTTTCCTCATCTGTGAAATGTGTTTACCATATGCTTCAAAGGATCAGCATGAACCCAAGTTGTACATCAGCACAGGACAAGCACTATATACTACTTCTAATGGAAAAGAAACTCAAATTCTGGATTAGAGAGTTGCTTTACCTAACAAAATACTCCTAAGCTTCAGAAAATAAATGGAGACTACCTTATTAATTCAATATTCATATATCATTTGTGTATTAAGCGCTACAACTTTGAAATAATTATAGTGACTGATCCTTGGACATGTAACATCATTCAGAAAATATATCCAGCTTCAGTTATTCAATTAATAGATGAGTGTAATTCCTAGAATTTATTACAATTTGAGTCCTCTGAATCAGTCTGAGATCAAACCAACATTCTCTGAACATACATAATGGGACAGGCTCTGGGTTAGGTGAAAGGATTTCATTAGAAATCCTTAAATCTCTTCCTCACCAATTCATGTTAAGGTCTTCATATTATTTTGTCGAGATTCATCTTTTTTTGTGTTTTTTTTCTTTGGTATCTTTGCTTGTTTTCTGGGATTAACAGTTTTGGAACTAACTTGAATTTTGATTTTGGCATATTAATGCCCTATTTAAAAAATTCAGTAATTGGGCTGGGAAGGTGGCTTAGTGGTAGAGTGCTTGCCTTGCATGCATGAGGCTCTGGGTTTGATTCCTCAGCACCAAATAAGCAGGAAAAGACGGAAGTGGCACTATGGCTCAAGTGGTAGAGCGGTAGCCTTGAGCTGAAGAGCTGAAAGACAGGCCCTAAACTCTAGCCCCAGGCCCAGAGTTTAGGCCCCATGACCAACCAAAAAAAAAAAAAAATCAGTCATGAAATTGATAAGCTGCCACACACAAATCTGCTGTCCTTCCATGTTTGTCACCCAAGATTCTTTTTATAAAAAATGCTCACTATTAATATTTAATTAAAACCAGTTCCTCTAGAGTTTTTATTTTCATACTATTTGAGACATTTGTAGCACCTTTTCAAGGTGTGTATTTTGCTCGTTCCCATTCTTCTTGTCCACAGCCATCTAAGATTCTTATAGAAATGCTGGCTAATTTAGGATCAAGACCACAACTTCAAGGCAGCTTCATTAGTCAGATCCTCATCCTAACTGTTCAGATAAAAGCTTCCTATCACTACATTCACAGTGTTCCATCTCCCATTCAATCACAAAAGATTTATATTAAAGCACAAAAGATTGTGCTAAATGTCTGGATGAAATGTGGCTATACTTTCCAGCTACATACAAGCACAGTCTCATATTTTCTTTGTATAATAAATTGAAGAGTATCTTATAACTGGAAAAAGATTCAGGAGCCATAAGTGAAATTCAAAGAAAGCTGAGACCAAAGTAAATACCATTTGTATATTTTGTAAAGATAGCATAAGCACAGTAAAGTCTAACATATTTTTTGGCTAAATGTTTTGTTAACAATGTAACCAATACTGGTCACAAGATTAAATATTGACAGTAACTAAGTTATTGGTTCTGATCAACTGAAGATAATTAATGATGTTCTAAAATTTATATTACTTTTAATAGTGACATTGATATAATTTACAAAAGCATATTTTTCCTCAAAAGAGGGCATATGGTTCTTTGCAGAGGCCATTTAACAGAGTAGCAATAAATACATGTTATTTCCATATCCATGTTATTACTGTATAGGTATTTCTGTATTTCTAAAAACATACATACATTATTATTATTGTTGTTATTTTGTGGTACTTAAGATTGAACCCAGGGCCCTCAAACACTCTAGGCAAACCCTATAAACAACGTGAACTGTACCCCTAGTTCCTTTGTTTATTTATTTATTTTTTTTGGTTTTATTGCCGGAGTTTGAACTCAGGACCTTGTGTTCACAAGGCTTATTTGCTCAAGCTCTACGACTTGAGCCATATCTGCATTCTAGTCGTTTGCTCATTATGTGGAGATGAGTCTAGCAAACTTTTCTGCCCAGGCTGGCTTTGAACCTTAATCCTCCAGATCTCAGGAGCAGGCACGAGCCACTCATTTCTGGCTATATTTTGTTTTTGAGATATGATCTCACTGATTTTGCCCAGGCTGGTCTTGAACTCATAATCTTCTTGCCTCTGCTTCTCAAGTAGTTGAGATTATAAGCATGCACCATCATGCCCTCAGCTAACATTTTCTTCTTTTTAGTTGGTTGCGGGGCTTAAACTCAGGGCCTTGGCGCTGTCCCTGAGCTCTTTCATTCAAGACTAGTACTCTAACACTTGGGCCCACAGCACTACCTCCAGTTTTCTAGTGGCTAATTGGAGCTAAGAGTCTCATGGACTTTCCTGTTTGGGCTGGCTTTGAACCACGATCTTCAGGTCTCAGCTTCTCAGCAGCTACGATTAGAGGCATGAGGCACTAGTGCCCAGTGTCCAACATATTTTTTAATGTGAGCAAACTAAAGCCTCTAACTACATGCACTTTCCTAAAGTGAAGGATAGCTTAGCTCTCTAGTCTGTAGATAAACTATTTTATTGTGGATTTTCAAACTGGCTTACTATGTTATTTATCCTGTTTATACGAAGTAGAAGCTAGCAAAGTATTAAAAAAATAATAAAGAGGCCTCTTTCCTAGTATTTTACTGTAAATACTTGCAAATATTTCTTTAGACCTGGGCAAAGGAGATAGCTTTACTTACTGGCTCCAGTATATCAGAAGTCAGGGCTCACAAAAAGAGAGGGCATTGTGAATTGATAAATCAAGTTATGTGCTCACACTTCATCAACTTGATTATTAAACTGGATTGAGAACAGCCAGCAGTATGCAGTCTCCATAGTTAATAATAATAATGCACTGCATTTTCTACAGTGTAAAGTTTTTTCCTTTGGTAAATTCAAAGACTATGTCAATAATTTCAGATAATTATAGTTTTATTTGAGGCACTTATTTTAATTACACATTAAAAAAATTCTCCAAAATGTTTAAAATTTAGAAAGGAAATGTACAAAAATGGTGATAACCACTGCTAACCTATTGTTGGTAGCAAAAAAAGGACAAATTTACGTGTACACTTAAATTCCAGCTAGAAAGACCAGATCAGGGAGAGAGAAAGAATACTGTGCAAATAGGCTAAAGAAAAGGGCTCTTGGTTCTTGTGGTCTCAACTGCTAAGATATCAAGATATGAGAGGAGGGAACCACCATGCATGTGGGGTGCCAGGTATAAGATTCTTTCCATGTAGAATTGGACAGGAACTAGGAATTAAAGAATACAGGCAGTATCCTTAAAGTTGTGCCAGTATGCAGCTGAAGTATTAATATCAACTGAAAGCTAGGGTATACTACAGCTAGCTATGATAGATCAGAAATTTGATTTCATACAAGCAGTAATTAGGCTTCCTATATTCCTTTACTACTTCTTAGCATTTGGAGAAAAACAAAAACAAAAAAAGAATAAAAAGTAAATGAACAACAACAAAAATCCCTACAAAAGAGTATGAAAGCTCAATCTGCCTCAGCCATACTAAAGGCAATGAAGAGTTGAGGCTTGAAAGTTAAAACAGAAATAACACACTGAGAGGCAGCATACAAGTTGGTGTGAAAATCCAAACTAAGGCTCCACAATGAAAGGCCAATCATAGCTGCCTTGTAGCCTATCTCCACCCTTTCCCCAAATCTATAAATTTCTTTTTAAAAACTGAAATTTCTGAAGGCTTCAAGTTCTGTTTTAGTAAGGGAATGACTATTCTCAGCAGGATATCACATCCAAATCCATTCTTATATTGATACTGTAATTGTGTGAACAACCTAAGTAATGGATCATGAACCAAACAAGGAAAATAAAAACAACAAATGCTATCAATAATTCCAGTGAGGAGGAATTGGGTAGGCAAGAATAATAAAACAAAGCTTTCTGGTAGAGACAAGACAAGCTGGAGCACAAGATGAAGTCAGGGTGGGAGTGGAAGAATGCTGTCCATATGGAAGCAGAAGACTGCTAGCCTAGGTCTGGCTTTTCCACTAGACAGTACTTGGTGAGACAAAACAGAGCAACTAGTACAGTCCTGTAAACATTGTAAGAAATGAACTGGTATGCCAGATACGAAAGAAAATTCAGGCCTGGTACAGGTAGCTCTCATCCGTAATTCTAGTTACTTGGGATGTGAGGTTCAGTAAGATTCCAGGTTAAAAGGACAGCCAAGGCAAAAAAAGTTCGAAAGACCTGTTTCAGTCAGTAGTAATATGCACCTGACATCTCAGCTACTCAGGAGGCTGAGATCAGAAAAATCATGATTTTAGGCCAGTCTGGACAAAAAAATCCAGAAGATCCTGTCTCAACAGAAAAGGCTGGTGTGTGGCTGTTATCCCAGTTATAGGATGATACTGAAAATTTAAATAGGAGAATTGTGGTCCAAGCTGATCCAGGCAAAATAAACAAAGATTCTCAAAAACAAGCAGAGCAAAAAGTGCTGGAGGCAAAGTTCAAGTGGCAGAATGTCTGCCTAGCAAGCACAAACCCCTGAGTTCAAACTCCACTGCTAGAGGAAGAAGGAGAGAAGGAAAGAAGGAGAGGAAGAAAAGGGAAGAGAGGGAGAGAGGAAGAGGGAGAAAGAGAGGAAGAAGGAGAATAGGAGAGAGAAAGACAGAGAGAATCATATTTAAGAAGACAGGGACTATGTAGCACCTAGAACCATGAATAGGTATCACCCTACGACACTCTAGCCAAATCTTGGTGGGGAAATTGGTTACAGCTATATTTAATCATGGCAGATTTTAGGGTGGGTGGCAGACAATTTGATGTGATATTCTATTACCTCAGGTAAGAAGTAATAATATGGAGTAGTGGAGAAAAAGGAAGGAAGAGGTAGAATCAGCAGATGACAGTGAAGAATGAACAATGAATGCAAGGAGGGATGTGTCCTTGTGCTTGAGTTGCTAGAGGACATTTCCTTGTTCATGAGTGTTCCTTTTTTCTCCTAGAATTATCCATTTTTGAGCTTCAACTAGTATCACACTGATTCAAATGCCCAGTCCAGGTATCTTATAAATTCTACTTTTACAAGCAAAATGATTACCATCCTCATCCTCAGTGTCAACATACCTCTTAATAAAATATCTTTCCCTGTACTAGTTCTTCTTTTGGGAACATCTTTTCTAAGGCCTTGTGCATACAAAGACACTTTCCAATCATTGAACTATAACTATAACCTGAAATACTCATTTCTCCTTAAAGATAATATGTTGGTACCAAAAGTTTTTCAAAATGAGAGTTCAAATACTAAGAGAGCATACTTGAATCAGTAAGATTTTTGAACTCTATCATAAATTCAGTGATACAAATTACAAGGAACTCAGGCTGAGGGTTTAGCTTGGTGGCAGAATGTTTGTTAGCATGCGCAAGCAAATGCTTTATCACTAACCTTAGATATCTATTGATCTATCTATCTATCTCTACACATATAGGTATAGATATCTGTATCTATCAGTAACCAGTGTTATATAGTTCTTTCTAGCTTCTAGTAATCAGTGTATATGATTCAGACATGAAGACAACAGATGGATAGGAAACACATATTAGAAACCAATGTTATGCAGTTATGTCTTTCTAGCTTCTAGTAATTAGTGTATAGAAGATAAATCAGATATGAAGGCAACAGATGGATTGGAAAACTGGATGTGGAATAAAGGCAATGGATAAGCAAATTTCAACTTGAAAAACCATGGCCATGAAATAGCCAGTTATAGAATCCAAGCCAAGAAAGTCTAGCAAGCCCAGAATGTTTAGCACTGTGCCTAGACACATGTGGGATTGAAAATTAATGTTCCAGGGAAGAGATTTGTGGGGGAGGGAAAGTGGGAGAAAACAAGGGAGGGAGTAACAATGTTTGACAAGGAATGTACTCATCACCTTTCTTATGTAACTGTAACCCTTTGACATCACCCTTATAGTAAAATTAAATTAAAAAAAGAAAATTAATGTTCCAGGAGAAATTATAGATAAAAGTGATCTGCATATAAAATCAGCACATAGGGCTGGGAAGGTGGCTCAGTGGTAGCGCGCTTGCCTTGCATGCCTGAGGCCCTGGGTTCGATTCCTCAGCACCATATAAGCAAAAAGAAAAAAGCCGGAAGTGGCGCTGTGGCTCAAGTGGTAGAGCGCTAGCCTTGAGCTGAAGAGCTGAGGGACAGTGCCCAGGCCCAGTGTTCAGGCCCCACGACCGGACCCAAAACAACAAGCTAAATAATATAGTAATTTTGTAAGTGTTTTGTGGGGGGGTGGTAGTGGTGGTGGTACTGGTATTGGAACTCAGGGCCTCATGCTTGTGAGATGTGACTTTATCTTTATTTTAGTTTTTTCTTTTTTTAGTTATTTTTTAGGCAGGGTCTTCTAATTTTGTCTAGCTCATCCTGGATTGTAATTCTTCTATTTAGATCTCTCATGTAGCCAGGATGACATACATAAAACACCACATCTGGCTTAAAAGTTGAGTGTCACTTCCCCTTCCCTCACTCCCAGCACTGGCGTGAATTGTGATCTTCTTGATCTCCACTTTCAGAGTGGCTGGGATGATAGGTTTCTAACACTAACAAACAAACCAAGTTAACAGAGTAATTTAAAACTCACCTGAAGAATCTGGTCTCCAGCAAGGAGTCTCCCATCTCTGGCAATGATTCCATCTCGGTAGACTTCCTGGATGACAATGTTAATCAGTGGTGTTTCATTGCCACCCACAATGCTAATTCCTAACTGAATATATGGATTAGATCGGTGTATTTCAATTGTGGTAATTTCTCCTTCTGGTAAACTGAGTGGCTGTTGTGCAGCTGTAAAATTAAAAACGAGAGAGGAAGAACAATGTTTTATATGGGTTTTCTTCATGTAAACAAGGTATCTTATGTTAACATGTAGATGATTAATAACTAAGCAATATGACTGGCTAAGGGCTGGAATGTTGAAAAAACTCAGTTAAGACTATCTAAACTTTTCTACTTCAACCTAAGTAAAAACAGTGATTAAAAAAGAAATCTACTGCCCGGCGCACTGGTGGCTCATGCCTATAATCATAGCTACTCAGGAGGCTGAGATCTGGGGATCACGTTCAAAGCCAGCCTGGGCAGGAAAAGTCTGTGAGACTCTTATCTTCAATAAGTCACTGAGAAAACTGGAAGTGGCGCTGTGGTTCAAGTGGTAGAGTGCTAGCCTTGAGCTGAAGAGCTGAGGGATAGCGCCCAGGCCCAGAGGTCAAGCCCCATGACCAGCAAAAAAAAGAAATCTACTTGGTACCAGATCTGGGATGACATGGAATCTGGTAAAGAAATATTAAGAGAAAACCATCTGGAAATAGTGTACTCTTAGCACAAGGCAGAAGAAAGGAAGCATACACTTGGTGCTACATTAAGCCCACAGAGAGAATAGCTATGTTGAGCTCCTACATGGTGTTTGGATCTCAGAAGGGCTTGAGAGCTGTGGCAAGGACAATCTGAGTATGGAGTATACTTTTTAGTTTATAAGAGAAAAACTACTTTTGGAAGTAATTAGCTAAGACGAACTACCACGGTGCCCAGGATGCTGACTGACTACAGGCTTACTCCCTAGTGGATGTGCTATACAAGCTAGTGCAGCAGTTTGCTGGTTAAAAGCATGCTCAAAAGTCCTATTCCAAGACACTTGCTCTATGATATATCTATTCATTCTCTCAAGACACAGTTTTCTTAAAAAATAAAAATAAAAAGCTTCATAGTTGCTGGGTTATGTATGCCTGTAATCCTAGCTACTCAGGAGGCAGAGATCTGAGCACTGCAGTTTGAAGCCAGATTGGGCAGGGCAGTCCATGAGACTCTTATCTCCAATTAACACCAGAAAAAGCAGGAAGTAGTGCTATGGCTCAAGTGTGTAATAGAAGGCTAACCTTGAGAAAAATGGTCTTTTAGGGACAGCATCCAGGCCCAAAGTTCAAGGCCCAGAACTAGTACCAAAAACCAAAACCAAACCAAACCAAAACAACAACAAAAAACACCACCTCCAAAAACTTCATAATGTCATTCAGCATCATTTAAGTAATCAGTTAATAGAAAGTGCTTGGTAGTGTCTGACAGAATAAGTACTTGATTTGAGCTATGTAGGTTTTACTGTCAATGATGTCATTGATTTCTTATGTCAAGAGGTAAATGTATTTGTGAACAAAAACAGTAAGAATCGATGGGTACTGGCAGCTCACGCCTGTAATCCTAGCTACTCAGGAGTCTGAGATCTGAGGATCACAGTTCAAAGCCAACCCAGGCAGAAAAGTCCATGGGACTCTTTATCTCCAATTAACAGAAAACTGGAAGTGGCACTGTGGCTCCAGAGCACTTGCCTTGAGCTGAAGAGCTGAGGGACAGCACCCAGGCCCAGAGTTCAAGCCTCATGACAGACAAAACCAAAAACTAACAAACAAAAAAAACCCAGTAAGAACCATGTGAATGACTGGTGGGTAACAATGGGAAAATAATGGAGAAGGATCATTTCTCTTCTATTAAGACTCGTATTTTATTTCTAAGATGCAGAACATTACATCTGTATATTGGGAAGGGTGAATGATGTGATATGTAAACTATATCTGAATGCAGTAACGATAACTGTTTAGAGGACAAAGGTGCATGATGGAAGATCAGTGGGAAGAAGGACAAAAGAAATATACTACAGCAGGAGGAGGTAAACTGCAACATTACCATCAGCTCCAGTGCTTTCATCAAAGGCAGGGTTGTCCAGACCTGGCTCCTCACTCCACACGGGAAGAGATGTGGATGTTGAGTTCTGTTCGGCAGGTCCTGGGCCTGTCCCTGGCCCTGAGCAATCCGTTTCTGGGGATGAAGTACCTGGAAGATCTATTATGGTGGATCCATTTTCATTCTCAGTATCTGTCTGAGTTTTACTAGTTTTCCTTCTTTCCAGGACAGCTCTCCGATGAAAAGCTCCAGGACACCTAGAAGAATTATCAGGTTATTTCCACATGATTTGTTTGAAAAGGAAAAAAAGTTTGTACCTGAACCAAATAATGGTACCTTGAAGTACTGACAAATTAGTACATAGTTCTGATCCTAATCTCTACTCAAAGTAACGATTTATTATACTTCATCTGGTAGACAAATAAAGACAAGACACAGGCACGAACAGTGGCTTGGAACATATCTCTAAAAGACTACTATTTCAATAAAAAGTCGCCAGGACACATCCTATAATTGTGCTTATATGGCACTGATGAGTGAGAAGCCAGAAGTGGTGGCTTATTCCTGTAATCCTAGCTACTCAGAAGAGTACTGAGATCGGAGGATCTCAGTTTAAGACCAGCCTGGGCAAAAAGAAAATCTGTGAGATTCTTATCTCCAACAAACCAACCAAAAGCTAGAAGTAAAGGTATGGCTCAAGTGGTATTTTGACAGCCTTGAATGAAAAGGCCAAGTAAGAGCTCTAGGCCCTAAATTCAAGCCCCAGTTCTGGCACAGAGTGTAAAAATCTGATGACCTAGCCCTTTTTACAGGCCAGATGGCTCATTCAGAGGAGTAGCAATCGCAGGTTTCTTCTACCATGGTACCATGAGGGTACCATGATGCTGCTTCACTCTTCATACCTACCATGTTACACATTCACTAACTAGTACTAATGTATCTGAAACTTTACTGCCTGTAGCAAGGCACATCAAAGGCCCAAATATTTACATAATAGACACAGAAAGAGAGAAAAATGTATTGCTCCATCTGTAAAATTAGAACTGTAGTGATGGTATTAAAGGGACAGACAATGAGCTAAAAACTGTATTCTAAGTGCTTAGGAAGCTTATGTAAGTAACTAGAAATAAGAACTGTTAGCATGCTTGTTTTACTTGTTTACGCAAAAAGAAACCGCAGACAGATGCTCATTTAAACTCACAACCAACAAAATATTTAAATGAAAGCCTTTCACAAGACATTAGAAACAATGCCAGATGCTCATTCTTTCCAATCCAACACCTTGATTAGGCAACGATCAATATGGCTAAGCTTGAAGAATGGGAAAGAGGACTCAGGATTAGCAAGGAAGAACGAGAGCCATTCTTGGGAGAAGTAGTGACCATATCAACAATGTTAAAGGCTTTCACTCAACAGTATTTTTAAAAACCCACAATTTCCAACAAAATTAAGTATAGGAGTAAATTAAACTAAAACAGAAAGCTATCCTTTAACTATGAAAGTAGCCCCGAGCTAAAGATTTATTTTAAATCTTGGATTTCAAGCTTCATTTATTCCCTTTTCTCTTTTTTCTATGTCTTGTTATGAAGAGAGGGAGACAATTAATTTTCTTTCTGCATGTGCAGGCAATGTTCTTTTAAGGCTCTGACAAATAGTTTTTGAAAACTAGATCAAGATAAAAATGTCTTTTGTCAAAGAAGATTTAATTAGAAATCCAAACTGTTTTATTTGAAAAGGGAAAAGGTTGCAGCAATAACTAGATTAAAAGATTTTCTGGCTAAAACGATAGATCAAATTTAATTCCTCAAATATATATCATACAAAAACATCCACATGGGCAATAGCTAGTCTTCACTGAAAAATGAATAAAGACCAGGAAATGAAGAGGATATAGGGGCAGAACATGAACACCTAGGAATTGGCTTAGTTAGCAACTCTAAGTCCTGATAAACTAAATAGGCTTATCCTATAGTTATTAAGCCTGTTAAAAATAAATTTAAGCGGGGTGCTGATGGCTCAAACCTATAATTCTAGCTACTAAAGGAGATCTGATGATGGAGATTTGAAGCCAGCCCTGACTCTTACCTCCAATTACTCACCAAAAAAAATCTTGAAGTGGAATTGCAGCTCAAGTGGTAGAGCATTGGTAGTAAGCAAAAAGCCCAGGGACAATGCCCAGGCCCTAAGTTCAAGTCTCAGTACTTGGGCCCAGGCCCAGGCACGCACGTGCATGCGCGTGCACACGCACGCACACACGCACGTACATACACACACCCACACATACACACACACAATCAAGAAGGAAAACCTAAACACTAGGTTGCTAATGAGGTTAAGGTACAGGCAAATTCACACACCTAATAAGACAGCATACTATTAGGAGGATTGCTAAATGAAAAAGATATTAAAAAGCTACCAAGGAAAAATATGGAATAATGATACTGTCCAGTATTAGAGAAAGAAAGCTTTAGATAGAACCTTTGGGAACATCCATATTTAAATAAGATGGGTCAGCTGAACTGACTGAAGTAGAACCACTAGGCAGGATATTCTGAAACCAAGGGAGATAAAGAGTGTCAACAAAGTGAAAGCTGCTAGTCTGCCAACCGCCACAAAAGGGGCAAACAAGGACCAACTAGAAGCCAATGGTGACTTGCCTAAAATGTGGCCAAAAGCCCAAGTTATAATACAAGCTTTACTGCTAACATAACATAAACATTCTATATGTATATAGACTTAAGGGAAAAGAGACCACTCAAAGCCAGAGCATATGGAAATGGGGAGTACTTGGGGTTCCTTCTTGTTTTATAATATTCTAAAAATTAAATTATAATGATGCTGTACAGTTCTATGAATATATACAAAGTCACTGAATTATATATTTTAAGTAGGTGAATTTTATAGTATATGAAATACATGCCAATAAAGCTTTTTATTTACTTATTTATTTATTCATTCATTCATTCATTTATTTTTGTCAGTCATGCGTCTTGAACTCTGGGGCTGGGTGCTGTCCCTGAGCTCTTCAGCTCAAGGCTAACAATCTACCACTTGAGCCACAGCGCCACTTCCAGCCTTTTCTGTTTATGTGATGCTGAGAATAGAATCCAGGGCCTCATGCATGCAAGGCAAGCACTCTACCACTAAGCCACCTTCCCAGCCCACCAATTAAACTGTTAGAAAATAAGGACAGAGAAAAGCCATGATTCAGACATCACAGAGCTACCATCTGTCCCTCAAGTTTGTAAATACCTGGAACTGAAAGTGAAAAGGAAAAGAACAGTATTTGTGGAGTATTTTGTGTAAACTCCATGTAGCAACCTCAATTTATACTATTTAACTGATCCTAACAACTGTTCCATTACCTTCAGTTTACAATGAGAACTTGAGACAACTAGGCCAAGATTTTATCTCTTTCTTTTGCATCATGCTAAATTCATTCACATGGAATTTTATTTGTTCTATAAACTTGTAACTAGAAACACAATTATAGAATGTTAGAGCTGTAAAAATCTTCCTGATGATTAGAAAACAAAGATTAGAAAACAGGTTCCTCCTGCTGCAGGCGGAGGGCTATCCTTTTTGTCAGTGTTTGATTTTTCCCTCTTTATTATTTTAGCTCACTTTAAGAAGGAAAACACTACCTATGAACTTTTTTCCCCTGCTATAGCAACATTATTCACTGGTAACACTGCATACACCAGGAGACTTGGTATAACAGAACACACTATGTTATCACCAGTAATGGTAGGGATCTTGTAAGACACAATGAAGTGAGGCAGTGGCGCTGTGGCTCAAGTGGTAGAGTGCTAGCCTTGACCTGAAGAGGTCAGGAACAGCACTCAGGCCGAGTTCAAGCCCTATGACCAACCAAAAAAGAAAAAGAAAGTTTCCATAAAAACGAAGTGAAGGGCTGGGAAGGTAGTTCAGTGGTAGAGCGCTTGCCTTGCATGCTCGAGGCCCTGGGTTCGATTCCTCAGCACCACATAAGCAAAAAGAAAAAAGCCGGAAGTGGCGCTGTGGCTAAAGTGGTAGAGCGCTAGCCTTGAGCTGAAGAGCTGAGGGACAGCCCCCAGGCCCAGAGTTCAGGCCCCACTACTGGACAAAAAATAAACAAAACGAAGTGAAGTATGTAAAACACCACATAACTCCAGGCCCTTAATGGAACCGAAAGGATGTGACATCTGATGATTTTTATAAAAGATAAAAAGTTATAGAGTAATAAAAATCAATCCCATTAATGTCAGGAAAAAGGTATATCAAGGATATTGGAAAAGCCTCTCTTCCATATAAGCAATGCAAAGAACAAGAGAAAGCATCAGAACCCATTATTTCTGGAGTCGAGGAATTAGTAACAGGACCAGAGCAATGGAGAGATCATTTCAGTCCCTCCCCCACGGTATAATCCTGTTCTCACTGTATTTGATGTTGGTATAATTTGTGGAGGGGAAGGGAAAAAACAAATCGTTTAAATAGGGATACAGGTGGACCCCATTGCAACATTGAGATGTACAAGACGTTATGTTGAAAAATGAACTTTACAACTTTGGCACATGCGGGGAGGAGGGGTAGTGTAAGGGATGATAAGGGGAAAAAAGGAGGAGGCAACAATGCTTGGTAAGAAATGTACTCATTACCTTGTTCATGTAATTGTAACCCCTCTTTACGGTACTTACACAATAAATAAAAAAAAATTTTACACTGGAAACCAAGCTACTAGGGAAACAGCCACTGAGAGTTTTAAAGCTCCATGATCAACACACTGTCTTAAATTGACCTGTCTATTGTTATTTGGAAAACCCCATTTGTAAGGCTGTCTCTTCTTCATCTGACTTAAAAGCTTGCCCAATGCAAAGAGCCTTTTCATTGAGGGTGTTTGCTGATTTTTATAAGTTATAAGCAGCTGGGTTCCAGTGGTTCACGCTTATAATCCTAGCTACTCAGGAGGCTGAGATCTGAGGATCACAGTTCAAAGCCAGCCTGGGCAGGAAAGTCCGTGAAACTCTTATCTCCAATTAAACCAATAGAAAACTGCAAGTGTGGCTCAAGCAGTAGAGCACTCGCCTTGAGCTGAAGAGCACAGGGACAGCGCCCAAGCCCAGAGTTCAAGCCCCACGACAGACCAAAAAAAAAGTTATAAGCAGAGAAATAAAAGGCTAAAATGAAACATTAGATAATAAAAATGTCCACAGAGGTTCAGATATGTCCAGGGTTGTGGGAATGTACAAAAAAGATCTATCAAGGCCTGGAGGGTTCA